CGTAGATATATGCAAATCCACAATCAGCTACATTGAATAGTATTCCACCGTCAACACGTCCACAGCCGACCAGCCTTCCACAATTTCGTTTACCAGTGAATCAAGTTTTTCGTAGTCCCGAGGAAGTGAATATTCCACTCCAGCATAGACGTCCGCAACCTCAACATCAACCTGTGAGAAGATTCCCTCAAGTACGACCTGATGATGAAGAATATGAATAAATTTAATCGACATTCATTTGATAATTGTCATTCATTGTTACATTCATCGTCACAAATCTTTCGTTAATTATATTATATGTGGTTTCATCATTCATATTGCGTTAAAATTATAAAAGAAGGAAGAGAACACTTCGGGATAATTATTATTTATTCAAATAAAGTATAGTTTATAGTTCTTAATTAATTATCCAATATTAATCATTTTCCATATTTTTATTCTGTAATATTTTTTAAATTGATAATTGTATTTAATATATTAAATGTAAAATTATTTTGTACATTCTATGATCATATGTATAATCAACATTAGTTCAAAAATGATAATCAATAAATTGTTATTACATTATTTTTAATAACATTATATAAATATTTTTTAAACAAATATCTAAAAAATATCAAAAAAACTGAATAATTTTTTTAATTCAAAATAATATAAAATTTAAATACATTTAAATTTGTACGGAGAAATAGTCAACTATCTGTTTAAACGAGTTTTATGTAACAAGAAATATATAAAAAAATTAATTGATATATCATTATGTATCAGATATAATTAAAAATAATTCAATTATTTTTTATTTTTATAAAAAAAAATAATATCAAAATAAATATATGTATATATTACATATGTATATATGTATTATATATTACATATGTATATATGTAAATATATATATATATATTTATTATAGCGAAACAAAACATTGATGTTTCATGTTATATCACGTAGTAATGAAGATTGTGAGAGCGTGTAGTGTGATTTGCGTTATATTGTAAATATTTTTTTTAAATTTTCTAAGATATTTATATTAAATAAAAAATAGACAATTGAAAGAAATATAAAACAAGTTAGGATTCGTTTAATATGCATTGTTTATTGAATTGAAGGAATACAAATTTGGATTTTCTCTTGTTTGCTTTCATGTAATATGTAAGTATTTCTATGAATTTCGCCATATTGTTTGCTACACTACCGCCTTCTGAAAAAAGGGTTCAGGGTTAGAATCAAGATATCACTTCGTTTGAGTGCTTAGTGTCGCTGTGTACTCTTTTTATTTTGGAATGAATTTATATAGTTTCAATTATCACATTCTTCAAGTGAAATACAAACAAACGCGATAAATTTCATACTGTCAATATAAAAATTATCAGTGGGTTTTTATACACCATTAATAAACGACATTCAATAAGAATTTTAGAAATGGCTGCTGCTGCTGCTGCTGCTCTACTTGATGAACTTATGGGAAGAAACAGAAATGTTCTTCCTAATGAAAAACCTAAAGAACTTAATTGGGAAGATCCTGAAGTAAGTTTTCGAAAATATTGATATTTCAATCACATAGTCATTAAGAAAATCAAATTCCGGAGTATTGACATTTCATCATAAATTTTCATTGAATTCCTATTTCCCATTCCAGTTTTGTAAATTATATTTAGTTAAATTTTGTCCTCATGATTTATTTGTTAATACGAGAGCTGATTTGGGTGCATGTTCTCGAGTACATGATGATGAAGCTAGAGAACTGTTTGAAAAAGCTCCATATTCATATCGAAAACAACAATATGAAGATGAATTTATTAGATTTTGTCAAAGTATGTTAAATGAGGTTGAAAGAAAAATAATAAAAGGAAAACAACGATTAGCTCTTATTGGAAGAACTGAAGCGGTAAATAAATTTCTAATAATCATTTTAAAGTATTATGTTCTTTTTCTTTTTAAATAATCATTTTAAAGTATTATGTTTTTTTTCTTTTTTATTAATTATAATAATCTTGTTACATGCATTGATATAAAATGAATGATGAAAAGATTATCAATTCTTATTTATTAGCCTACTTTAACACCAGCACAAACTCAGAGAAATGAAGAACAAATTGCACTTTTAACTGAGAAAATTAATAAATTAGTAGAAGAAGCAGAACAAAGTGGTATACAAGGTAATGTGGAACAGGCTCAAGGTTTAATGAGATTATGTGATCAATTAAAAGAAGAACGAGAAACCTTAAGGAAATCTAATGACAATAGTCATTATAACCAGGTAAAGTCATTATATCAGATAAATGTTGTTATGTATCACATTAATATTGTAAAGAAAGAACAGAGAAAATTAAACTTTAATTTATTTTAGACTGCCGAATTAGCTGCTGCACAAGAAAAACAAATGGAAGTATGCGATGTATGTGGTGCATTTCTTATTGTTGGAGATGCACAACAACGAATTGATGATCATCTAATGGGTAAACAACATGTTGGATATGCTAGATTAAAAAGTGCTCTTCAAGAAATTATGGTAATTTATAATTTTTGTGCAAATAGATTTTTTTAATATATAACTTAACTTTTTTAATATTAATTTAAATAACAAAATAATATTTCTTATAAAAACAATTTTAGAGTAAACGTGAGAAAGCTAGAGATGAAAAAGAACAAAGAAGAGAAGAAGATAGGAAACAAAGAGCACGTGCCAATGAAGAACTTGATAGACGAAGAAGAGATGATCGAGATAGAGATAGAGAAAGAGATAAACGCCGTAGACGCGATGACGATAAAGGCAGACATGATTCGGGCAGTCATAGGTAAATTACTAAAATATTCTTTTTAACTTATTAAATATAAAATATAATAGGAAATATTTCATAATGCTAATTATATTTAGAAATTCGGGACACAGAAGTAGAAGTAGATCAAGAGATAAACATGACAGACATCGAGATGATGATCACCGACGTCATGCACGAGATAAAGGTACTTAAAAATAATATACATTGTAAAATTTTAATCATTACCAAATAAAAAATTTTAGGAATTTTATAAATTTATTACACACTTTTAGGAAATCGTGATCATCGAAGCTCGAGTCATCACAACCGGCGACGCCATCGATCTAGAAGTCGAAGTCACAAGTAACAACTCTTGATTGGTTAGTGAGTGAGAAGTAAGCCAGGTATGCACTAAACAATATAGCATATTCGTCTCAATTACTGTACAGGTTCTTTACCAGGTGAGTTTCATTAGATGCACATAATATATACATGATAATTATCTGTAATTTTGAAGAATGGCATAGTCACAGCGAGCCAGTCTCTGGTCCTGCCTATTAATCGGAGAAACACTTGTACTAAATTTCATATGGACCTGTTTGTACAGCGTTTAATTTTGAAAGTGACGAGCTTGCTCTATGTAACGTATTACTGAAAAACGGTGCATCGAGGTAATGTCGAGCAAGGAATAGTAATATTGTTCCCATACGAAAGGTATTTTTATCATGTAGTATTATAGATATTGTCTACAGAGCAAGATAGGAGAAGGTATACCTATGCTTGCTTTGATCGGTATAATGTCTTCATAGGGTAAATCAATTATATAATTTCAACGACTGCATAGCTTTTTTGTCGAAAAGAAATTAGTGGTTTAGTGGAGGAAACAGTGCCTACTTCCGTAGACCTGCCACAACAGTGCCCTGTGTGACTGTGACTATACAATCCTAGCTTCTACTACGCATTTCTGAGGTATTTATATCGGAATGATAATACCAAACATGTCCTTTTATTAGGAAAGTTAGACATTTTCAAAATGGTGATCTTTATTTTCGACGATATTCGAATGCTTATAAAATTATAAAGTTATGATAATAATCTCCTACTCTTACTTTCCTTATTCCCTGATTGCAATTTATTGGAGCATATTCTATTTAAAATCGAAAAATTATCAATTAGCCAGGAAGATTTCTGCTATGAATTCAAAGGAACAATTTTAATAATTGAATTTAAGAAAATAAAGCAATAGTTTATTATAACAGATTCATATGTATAGTCCAGAAATGTATATTTATTTAACAGCCATGTGGCTATTATTGATTCAGAATGTAATTTTGGCATATAGTCTTATCGTCGTCATTTGAACTTTATTTGTAAAAGTTCGAGTAACATGTATCATATATGATGCATTCTTCCCTTTGCATGCATTTTTTCTCCATTATTTTTAGTTTTGAGAGACAGGACATGGCGAAGCTCGGTCAAATTTTTCTATTAGAAAGTCGTATACATATAAATCTCATAGTATCATGGTACAGCGATTTGAAGGTTGATGACAGGTCACGTGGAATGTGTCTTATGGTGCTCCGAGGACATCTCCTTTAATTATATCTTATTCTTTTGTCGCGCCCTTCATTTCGACTTATAGAAAACTCATACTTTATGCGCGTACTACATTTGTGTATTTCATATTAAATCATAATAAATCATTTATATACATTTAATAATTTGTTTTCTGAACCAACTAAATTAAAAAAAAATCTTTTTAAGAAAAAACAAAATACCAAAATAACAACTTAAAAAAAACGATCATCTTATATTGTTGCATTGGGATGAAAGGAGTCTTGATAGTGAAAAATTCTAATTGTTTCAAATTATAAAAAATTAAAATTTATTATCCTCATGATAGATTTTCATTTTTCATTTATATATTGTCATATTTTAAATTCTTTTATAAATGAGATTACTAAAAATAGATTTACCAAATATTATTTGGTTTCAACTGACAGATTTCATTTACACAAAACAAAAAGTAAATTTCTTAATTTATGTTAAATTTTTATATCAACAAGCAATAAATAGATCAATAATTAATCATATAATTTCTGTGACAGTTAATACAATATATATTAATTTTTTTTTATTTTAATTTTATATAGTTTAAAAAATAATTTTATTTTTCCAATGTCACAATCAAAGATGATCAATTTTAATTATGTAATTTACTTTTCACACATGTAGCCGACAGAAGTATGATATTTTTGTTAAATATGTCATGTAATTAGGTCAAGGTTAACAAATAATATACGAATACGTTATCCTGCTGTTTGGTAACGACTTAAATTAATATGAAAGAAAAAATAATGAGGATCATCAACATTTGAAAGTTGTATTGTCTATTTTCAGACAGAAGACATGCCATGGAGATGTAACCAATGCAACAGGCTCACTTGCACACTGCTTAATATAATATTGAGGTAAAGATTTTGCATAATCTAAAAATTCCAATCATGAATTTTATACACCTGCGTTTGGTTCATTTTTACTACATCGCGTTTTCTTGAAGTTAATTACAAGAAAAATCATAAAATTAAAAGAATTGAATACATAATTATTGTTATCAACATTATATTATGATATAGGGAAAAAATTAAAAACAGATTTATTAGTAATTTATTCTTATTTGCAAATGTTACTCTAGGCTACATATGATAAAAAATATCAAGGTAAATTGTCTATAATTTGCATTGTAATACTCTTAAAATTGTTAATTAAAATTAATAAAACAGTACTACAATAAAAGTATCAGGTTATTTTGAAAAACATACAAAACATTAAAATAGTCAGAATTATAAACAAAATAACAGATACTGTACAATCTTTAACATTAAATTATAAAATTTATTAAATAAGTATATACACGAACAATATACTATTGAGCGATAGGATATTCTATCTGAATACTGTACATAGTAGTAATATTTGCTATGATACAATGATTTGCTATAATCAAATTATCTTTGTATAAAACTAAAATACTGTATATCAAGTGTAAATATTCGTATTGGCTGACTGATTTTATCATGCGTAAATTATTTAATTTTTTTAAATTTTATGTCAACGAATCAAAGAGTTATATCATTAAATAGAAAAAATTTTATTTAAGTCCCATAAATTTTGTAACCTAAAAATAATATATCATTTAATTCGTATAATTTGTTTTAGAATTTATATTGTCTTAATAATAAAAAATTGAAAGATTTAATAATTTTGCTACCTCTTCATATACGGTCCAAGCCATTGCAGTCATTAATGTCCTTCTCAATATTCGTGGAACAATGCCTTTAAAATATCCTAACATACCATATTCTTGTAAATCCTAAAAACTGCGTTACGAACATTTTTAAATTCATTAGGATATAATTGCATTTTTGTCTTGATTACATCAGCAGGTTGTGTTACAGTAGAAGCAAATATTCCTGCTAATATTCCACAACTGAAATGAATTGGAGCAGATGATTTGACATAGGGCAAATCTAAAAACAAAATTTATATTAAAACATATAATTATTATTATAAGAATAAGTTGATTTTAAACTTCCCTTAATTTTAATGAAAAATTTACCTGCTTCTATAACAATATTTTTTAATTGTGTATAAAACGTGAGATAAAGGCCGCTATAAGGAGCATCTCTTAGTAATGTTGGTACTAATCCACTTGAAAGACCTCTTATTCCTTCCTGCTTGTAAATTATTTTCAATGCTTCTCCTACACTGTTATATTTATAAATTTCACTCTGTGAAAATAAGATCAATATTTTCGTAATTTCATGCAACTCGTATTAAGTAGAATATTCTAGATTATTAGTATTAGTATTTTTATGCCTAATCATATATCTAATTTTACTTTCTGTATATTTTTCTTTCTATGATGTATAATATATTATATAAAAAATGTAAATATATTTATAATAATTTCACGTACTTCAAAACGTGTTTTTACTACTGTTATTGGAATTAATAAAGCTCCAGACATAGATCTTGCAGTAATGCCTAATAACAGTGCTTCTGTAGGTGTGAGTGGATCTTTTACATGCAATGTATGCTTTAACCAGTGTAATGATGAAAAATATAATCCAACACCAGGTACAACTCTTGTAATGGACTAAAAAATTCTTAATTAATATATCTTGATAAGATTTTTAAACTTTATAATTCTTTTAAAATTTAAAATTCTTACCGGAGTTATACCTTTCCAAAGTCCAAGTACATTTTCATTTTTAATGATATGAATTACTGTACCTAAAGTATTAGTTTTTGGAGTACTAGAATAAACAGAAAACAATAAAATAATAATTAAGAAGAAATTTTATATAAAATAATGAAGAAAATAAAATTTTATACTTACTCAAGATGAAGATTTACTTTGCTTTGAAGTCTGGTTTTAATAAGATCTAATGGTTGAAATAAAATAGTTGAAAATGTTCCAGATAATGATCCCGCGAGAAAAGATTTCAAAATAGGATACTAAAAAAAAATTTCGATTTCAAAAATATATTTAAATAATAATATATTCCTAATTAAATATTTTTAAAATATTATATGAATGTATATTCATAAAAATAATCAAAAAAATAATGTATATGAAAAATATCATACAATAGATGTAGATATTAATACATAAATTATTCTTGTAATAAATATATGTCATATCTTGCACGAGTTTGCTCACGTGAGTTATAAATTTCCTTTAAAAGGTCATTATAATCGTTATCTATAAATGCAGTTCCTTGGGTCATCAGTATATTACGAAATAATTTTTTTTTATTTATTAATTATTTATTTTAATCATAAATTATATTCAAAGGTATAAAAACAATAGACTATGATCATTTTTTATAAAAAAGATAAATAATAATTAATTTTTGAAAAAGATTAATAATAATTAATAGTTTGATACAAATATAATATTTTTAATAATTATTATATTTTAATACCTTTTTAAATATTAAAATTTCGTTTTTAATATTATTAAATATTATTTTCAATACTATTAAAACCATTAATATATTTAATTGTATAATAGATCAATATTTATGATAGTCGTAGAATAGATAATTTTTTATTTTCTTTTTCAGCTTATACTTGTAAATTTGGGACATCAAACTTGCAATCTCATAATGCAAATGAACACATGAGATACTAAATGGTGGATACTGCTCCACATAAATCATCTCCAATCCAGTACACCTCTTTTTCTAATTAGAGGTATTTTTTATTCAAATATCTTAGTATCTCTCTTTCTCTCTTTCTTTCTCTCTTTTTATTCAATTTATAAGATAAATTTTGTCAAAATAACTTTACTTAATATATTTATTTCAATACTTTTATATTTTTTATATAATATTAAGTATAAAATATTATAATTAATTTTATTAAAAAATAACTGTTGATACAAAAAAAATATGTTAAATAAAATTATTTAAACAGTCATATAGCTTCACCTATAATAATATTTACCCTTTATATCAGACATTTTCATTACAATTAAAAAAAAAATTTATTACATAAAAATTCAAAAATTATAACAAATAGTTATTACTCAAAAATAAACGGAGATACTTACACTTCCAAAAATCTCCATAACATAAAATTTATTGGAAGCTTAAAAATGAATGAATTTGAAATTATAATAAATTGAACTATTTCTAAATATAACACAATAGTGAAACAAAAGATACTTTCTTAATGCTTACTTTAATGTCACTAAGATACTGAATGTGTTATAAACGTGACTGTTACTTACATCTTCTTTTATCTTCATTTCATTTTGTTCGGGGTCAATAGAATAACCCTGCATATCGATACATTCTTCAGCAAAAAATCAAAAAATATTAAACTGAAACGTGAATTAAACGTGACTTTATATGAAACGTGAATTAAACGTGACTTATGAATATGAAACATTTCATTATATTTCATCTAAAAATATAAAAATACAAAATATATTATTTATTGATTTTAATCTCAAATTATCATCTATTTTTATATTTAACAAAATACATTTAATTATTATAAAATTCAGAAATAATTTTTGAAAAAGCTTCAAAAAAAATTTTTTAAATTTATTTTATTGAACAATGTTACGTAAAAAAAAAAAATAATTTATTTTAAATACTAAATTTTCATTTATATATATATATATCATAATATTCTATAATAATAAATGTGACATATTTATAATGAAGAATTTATGTATATCAAAATATTTCGAATATTCATAAAAATTCATATTAGGTTAGAATTAAAAAATTTAGATAAAAACACAATTTTATTGCTTGCTATAAAATACTACGTACATATTCTAAATATTATTTTATTATTATATTTGTACGTACTTTGTATGGAACATACAAAATTAAAACAAAAACAGAATTAAAATAATATCAACAATAACGAAGAATGCAAAATTCTGTAAAAATATTACAGAAGACTTATAAAATTAATTTCTTATCTAAAAATTAATTGTTTCGAAATAAATTTGTTTGCAATATTTTTCATAATGTATTTGTAAATACATATAAATAAATAATGTAAATTATTTATTTCAAATTTATAATTAAAAAATAGTGAAAATAATTTATTATTTATTTTATATATACGAAATACGAAATATTTTTGAATGTAATATTATTATAATGCAAAAATTGATAAAATATATATACATATATATTCATTAAATATTGAAATGAATTATGTATATAAATTGATTTATTATAATGTAATATAAAGAAAATGTTCTGAATAAATGTAAATGAATGAGTAAATATAATGTAAAAAAAAGTCATATTATAAAATATAAAAATATTTAAAAAAAAATAGAAATATAATCAAATAATTTTAAATATTTAAAAAAAAAGTATTAATTTTTTTTTATTAATATGTTTATTCAAATATGATAAATATAAGAACTAAGCATTTTTTATATATACTAATGTAAATAATATAAATAGATTTTCGATCAAAATATTTAATAATTTAATATTGTATAAGATATTACTAAACATTAATATTTTTGTATATTTTTTAAAAAACCCGCTAGTTAAAATGTATCAGACTTCCTGTTTAAGCGCTGTATTCGCTTTAGAATTATAGCTTTACAGTATGAGTTCGGCCATTTCGACTTTTCTTCCAACGCGGTGTGGTCGTTACTCTTGCACAATTGAGAGTAAGGTATGATATTTAAAAGTTATTTAAAAATTCAATTTATTTTAATTACAATATGGATTTTTAAAATTTACTAACTTTTTTTGAAAGTAATTATTAAACAATTAAATTTTTTTTTTAATTTAATTATATATTTCTAAATGTACACGTGATAATGAATTTTACATGCATTAAATATATTTTATATGTAATATATCAATATAAGAAATATAATATCACAAAATTATAATAAATTTTTTTAAAGTTGCATATATAATATATAAAAGCAACATTTTTTTTAATTAAATACATCTCAGGATTGCACAAAATGGTGAATGGAAGAATACCTTCAGTTTTCTCAAAAACTTATGTTACCCCAAGAAGACCTTATGAAAAGGCTCGTTTAGATCAAGAATTACGAATTATTGGTGAATATGGTCTTCGCAACAAGCGTGAAGTATGGAGAGTTAAATATACTCTCGCAAATATCCGAAAAGCTGCTCGAGAACTTCTTACTTTAGAAGAGAAGGATCCTAAACGTTTATTTGAGGGTATGAAATAAACTCTATATTTTTTAAATTAATAAATTTTTAAGACTTATAAAATAATTATGATGAATATATATTTTTGACACCTCTTGTCTGATTGATAATTTTGACGATATATTCTACTGATAAAATCATTAATATAATTAATATTATTACTCTGTATTTTAACATTTTATTCATTAAAATGTATATTTATTAGGAAATGCTCTTTTACGACGTTTGGTAAGAATTGGAGTGCTAGATGAAAGCCGTATGAAGCTTGATTATGTTCTTGGTTTGAAGATTGAAGATTTCTTAGAAAGACGACTTCAAACTCAAGTATTTAAATTGGGACTTGCTAAGTCTATACATCATGCTCGTGTACTTATTCGTCAACGTCACATTAGGTAAATTTTACTAAATTTATATTTTATATGCCTTAAAAAATGGGCAAGAAATATCTGATTATATATAGATTTTTTCTAATCTTTAAGGCAATATCAATCTCCTGATTAATCACCAGATAAAAATAAACATTTATCTGGTTTCAGATCTGGAAACATAATCTTTATTTTTTTTTTTCTGAAACAAGTATTTCAATCACTTTTATTAATTTTACTTAATTATAAAATATGATAGTAATAGTCTTTTGACTACTGCAGGTGTTCATACACTTTTCCTGATTGATTGTTTCTTCAAAATGATAGAAAAAATATGACTTAAATATTGGATGGGTAGCTAAGATGCTCAAGAATGTGGAGCAATACATATTATAATATTTTCTTTCAGGCAGGCCACTTAAGTGTTAGTGAAACTACACTTAACGTCTGTTATATATTAATGGATATATATTCATTTTAAAAATAATTGGTATATTTTTTTATATGTTAAATAGCATTTTAAATTCATATTTTGAAATATTAAAAATACAGAATATTGAGAAATAAAAATATAATGCATAAAATGTATTCTATTTTATCTTATTTCAGAGTACGCAAACAAGTGGTGAACATTCCATCTTTCATTGTAAGATTGGATTCACAGAAACATATTGACTTTTCGCTAAAATCTCCATTTGGTGGTGGTAGACCTGGTCGTGTAAAGAGGAAGAATCTGCGTAAAGGAAGTGGAGGAGCTGCTCCAGAGGAAGAAGAAGATTAAATAATTTTTTGTAATACTTTATACTAATAAAAGTATGTCTTAAATGTTATATTGTTAAATGTTAAACGATTTTTCAGATTATATTTTTTACCATTGTCTATCGACAAATATTTTTACTTTCTGTATATAATGCAGAATTTTATCAACTAAATATTATATTCAATAACAAGTAAAAATACAAATGCTTAATCTTAATATAAAGATGAAAATACTAAAAAAACAATAGCATAAATTTTTTAACTAATATAAAAATTTTTTGCATAGTTACAAAATTATTAACATAATATGCGAAAAAAGATTCGATTTTGCTGAAAAATATTCTCAAGTTTTAATATGGTAGTTAATATATAATTATTTATTATTTAATGTAATATATATCTTATTTGTATCAATATCATATTTAATATCTAGAAATTGACTTCTTTATTCATTATTTTATATGAAAATTTGATTAAATATTTAAACTATTAAATATTTCTGATATTGCATTTCTGATATCTTATCATATCAATATTTAATGGTATGTAATTTTTATTAATAAAATGCTATCAATCTGCCAATTTTATTAATTCTCAATAATTGTGCTTCATATATATCTTTATAAAAAGGATTGTTTAGGTACTTTATCTATAACGAGATGTTATATAGTTTTGATTAATATTGAAAGAATTAGAAGTTCAAAAACAAACTTGATAGAAAAAATAGTAAACAGAGGAAATTAAGAAATAGAAGTTAGGAAAGAAAAGATATCAATATATATATGCAATACTTGAACATATGGAAGTATGAGAATATCGCAGCAATCAACATCTGTGACACGAGCATTCATGTATAATCTGTATAAGAAATTTTTGTATTATTAAAAATATATATATATATCGTTATTTTTGGAATAAAAATTATACTATTTTTTTATAATATATTTTTTCAAATAATTTTTTAAACTTTCCAATTTGAAAAGTTTTCGTTAACTATATATTGAATATATTATATTCAATTCAATAATTTTTTTAATTATTTTCGAAATAATTATTTTAAGAAATTTAAATTTTAAGAAATAGTTTTTTTATTCTTAAATCATTTGTGGACATCTCATGAAATTACAGTTATGAATAAAAATATATGTCACGAAATTAAATAACATTTTAAAATTTGTATATATTTTTTTATCAATCGGCATTTTTATTGTATTTTTTTTCTGTTTTCATGTAAATAATAATATTATATTTTTTAAAAAATTGAATGCAGTTATGTTCTAGCAGATCATTGATTTTTACAAGTTGGGATAAGACGATTGCAAACATTTTATCTCTGGAGCAAAGACTTATGATATTCAATTAAAACATAAGACAACTACAGCCGTTTTATAAATAAATTAAATTTGAATATATAATATGAAAATATATAACATGAATAAATGAGAAATATCTACTTATTTATTACATATTATTATGCTATTATGCTATATATTTTATATATTATGCTATTCTTAAAACTTACAAAATTTTATCCAAATCGGAAACATTGTTCATAATAATCGTAACTTTTTAATTTAATTTTATCAAAAAGTACAAAGTACATTATGATATATTTTATATATTTATCAAATAATAATACTATATATTAATAATATTAATAAATATATTATCAATTAATATGATTATGTAATCTAACGTATAAATATAATAATAAAGATAAATACATTATATCATAACAATATATTATTAAAAAATAAAATTTAATTTAAAAAAAATATTTATTCTATTTATTTTTTATTCTTTTCATTATTATTTTCAAGTTATTTACTATAACTTACATAATTAGAAATTCTTACTGTAATTAATTTGAACATGGCATAATAACAAAGAATATGATAACAGTGTTGGCAATATGACTTGTTGAAATTTGAAACCTAACGAGTTACGATAGTGTTGTCTTAGCTATGATTACGTAACGTTAAAGAATTTTTTAAGGTTTGTCGATCTTGTCGATGCCAATATTCAGCTATGTTCAGAGTATACTTGTTGCATGCGGCGGGATTGGTGAGCGACGGTTGGTTGAGGAGAGAAGAAAGGGGATAGACGAGAATAACGAAGGATTCTTCTTACGTTAACGTGGGACTTCGCGAGCTTTCCGCAAGCTAGTGAGCGCGTTTCGATCAATTAACATATGCTACTTCCTAGCGGGAATTTTGTTTCACTGATCGAATAAAGGTAATTACATGACAGTGTGTTATCATACTATAATCCGGTAACCCTTCATCAGATATCGTATACTGACAAAAAACAACCGGGTTCCATATTAAAACTTGACACATCTTTTTTTTTATATTAAAGCAAGAGACCGCCTTTCTAACCTAAATTCTAAATTCTGTCATGGATCCGTAATGCGGGGTAGGGCAAGGAGGGCGATAACCACGAATCTCCTTCTCTTTTTGACAGCTAAAAATACGGTTTTTGAAGAAGCGACTGCAGCATCGAACATCTTGACTATTTCGGATATGATACAGCGCGCATGCATCCTGATTCGTTTACATAGATTTGTCTTATAAAATGCGCGCTTTTCATTTTTTAGTACATCATGTGTTTTTTATACTTGTGATTAATTATTTTTTATTTGTTTAGTTAAAATCATATTTCGAATGAAGGCTATCTGATTATTACGTATTCATAATTTTTTCACTTTATATTTAAATTATCTAATTTAAAATATCTAATTTATGAATTACAATAATATTGAAAATAATTTATTATAAAGATAAGTTTTTTTTTCCTTATATATTTTTTAGTAATAAAAATTGACAAAATACGTAAATATTCTTATACGCAATTTTAATTTTTTCATTTTTAAATTTCAAAATAAATGACATTTCAATATATGTAAAAAAAATTAATTATACATTTGTAGTTCTTGTATAAAATAAAAAGTTAAGTGTATAATAAAAATAACGATAAAATAATTGATTTTCATTTAACATGATAATTATAATAATTTTCAAGTTATATTAAGAAATTGATCAAAGTTTTAAAATTAAACTTTGTTATATTTATCGTGTTATAAAAATATAACATAATAGACTTCAAAATAAAATTAATTATTATTATAAGTTTAAATTACTAATTATTATTTTGTTAATTTCATTATATTAATATTTATAATACATTTAATAATATGCTTATTGAAATTTAATTACTATTTTTTTTTATAAATAGAAATAATGATATTTTTAGAATTTTCATTTAAGAGTTGTAATACAAAAAAAGGTTGAAAAATATTTCTTGTACAATTTTTAAAATTATTATAAAATTTATATAAAACAATTACATTTTCCTTATGAGAAATATATGATTTATGTTTATAATATTTTTATAATAAACAATGATAAATTTTTCTCTACAATTATAAAAATTATAAATTATATTTATTATTTTTATATAAAAAAATTAAATGTTAAATAAAGAAAAAATAATTTTGTCATTATTTAAAACATCATTAATTTTCTATAATAAAAATTTTGAAACATAATTTAAATAATAACTGCATTATATTTTGAATTTATGATTATAATCTACATAATTTTATGTTTACAATGATAACATATTATAATATAAGAATAGTATTAGTTAAAATTGAATTTTATCACTTTGCATAGATAACTACTTGATGTATTTTAATTATCTCTCTTTTAATGACTTTGAATAGATTATAATAAAAATATGTAATTTGAATATATCTTTAATATTTTAATTTTCTCTCTTTTAATGACTTTGAATAGATTATAATAAAAATATGTAATTTGAATATATCTTTATTTATATATTATTTCATTATTTTATAATTAATAATTAATAATAATAATTTTATAATTATATGATAAATTAAAATATGATAAAGGTTGGTAATAAAGGTATAAAGGTTTCATACATATATGTATATAAATTATTTGTATATAAATTAAAATCTTTTATTTCATTTTACAGGATATACGACATGTCACATCATTTTGTCACAGTTTGTGTAGTTTGTGTTTTATGTGCTGCACATACTCCATGTTCAGCTCATACTGAATTCTCAACCTCAGGACAAGCAACTCATAATTCTGTTAATTCTGAAAAATCATTACGACCTAATGAACAATTACAACCATCTTGGTCATTAATGAAGTTCAAAGAAATACAGCAAAAGGATGCGAGAAAATTAAGTTTAAATAATTTAGATGGTTATAATAATGGTGCTGTTAAATTTTATAATGTATTAGATAAAAATATCAGAAACAAAACTACTTTATTGATGTCAGTTGCCACAAATGAAGTCCATACTAAAAAGAAACATCTAGAAAATGTAGAAATTAACATTCAAAATAACCACATACCAATAATGAAACAAGATTCTAAAAATTTGAAGGATATAGAAATATCAGAAAGATTAGGCCAATTTGAAATTACACAAAATAGTAAATTGAATATAATACAATTTGACAAAAATCAAAGTCCTTTTAATAAAATCAGGACAAAAAGAAATGATGTAGATGTTTTAGATGAAAAATATTTCATGAAGAAAATTTTTGAAACTTATGGAGATGGTACAAGTATAACAATGGAAGGTTTCGAAAAGTTATTAAAAAAATTAGGATTATTGAGATTATTAACTGATATATCAAGATTAGAAAATCATAATATTGTTGCTAGTCACAATGAAAATCCACTGGGTAAGTTTTTTCATATATTGATTATTTATTATTAGAAATATTTTTTTTAAATTTAATAATTTTGTATTAATTTAATAATATTTAAGAAAAGAAAGAAAATATATTTTTCAAAATGAAAATAAAATCTTATTTCAAGATCAACTTATATAAATATTGTCTTTTAAAGCTAATGCCAGTAAATGACTTTTAATTATCAATTATGAACCTATCAATCATAATAAGCTATTTACTCTTGTGTGTATGTGTGTATGACTGTATGTGTGTGTGTATATTATATCTGATAATATTTTATCTTTATTCAATATAAGAATCATCTTGATCATAATTTAGCTTAACTTAAGAGTTCAAACTCCTTTTCAATTGAATCTATAGAGTTATTTATTGATTTTATTGAATTCTAATATTTTAATAATATTTTATGAATAAATGCATTTAATGTATAAAGTAAAAAAATATATTTAAAAAATATATAATATATATAAAAAATAATCAGCAACATTTATTTTATAATTATGAATGAGTAAACAAAATTTGATACTATTCTTGTTGATTACATGAGATATCAATGGTTAAATAATCATATCACATGTAATGTTATCCTCTATGTAGATATCTGACATCTTTTTATTATCAGTAAAATCATATTACAAAATTCTTATTAAAATTCTATTAAGTAATGCATATTTTATCTTAAATAAGATAATATCTTCTTTTTATATATAATATTTCTTAAACATTTTTTATTTATTATATGAATTGTTTTTTCATATTAGATAATATTTAAAGTTATTTAATAAAAATTTTTGAATAATATATCATTATATAAATTTATATATGAATTTTGTTATAGACAAGTCAAAGAATTTGCAAAATAATGGTTTACCAGAATACGAAAATGGAATTAAAAAAGAACGAGTAAGAAAATTGTAATAATTAATATTGTAATATTATATATATAATTTTATTTATATATATTTATAAAAAATTACACAAGTTTTTTAAATTTTATTAATTTGTTTTTAAATTTTTAATTAAATATATTCTATAAATAACTGTGTCGATATTTCAGTGCTTAAGTAGTAAAGAATTATTAAGTACTGTTGCAAGAGATATGCCATACAATTTGAGTACTAATAATAATTCAACATTACCAAGTTGGCTTTTTGAACGTGTATGTCCAGCTCTTATTTATCAGTTAGCTGGTGAATCAAGCTCAGAGAGAAATGGCTGTATTCGTGTACCAGACAATTATAGGCTAACAACAATTAATAAATATCTTGGAGAAGATATGACTCGTAATATGGTTCAAGGTATATAATCGATATAAATATCAATATTAATAAGAATTTTATATTTTAAATATTATAATTTATAATTTTAAATATATAATTTTCTTATTATTCAGTGTGGGCCTACTCAACAATCAGTATTCTAATAATCAGTCTTTGTGGTTTACTTGGTGTTGCTGTTATACCTTTCATGGGTAAAATTTATTATCATCAATTATTACAATTTTTAGTTGCTCTTGCTGTAGGAACATTATGTGGTGATGCTCTTATACATCTTTTACCACATGTAAGATATTATAAGATATTATAATATTTAAATTAATTATATATTTAATATATAATTATTAATATATATATATATAATTGTATATTTAATATATAATTATTGTATATTGTTTATTTTATTATATAAAAAAAATTATTTTTTTCTTAGGCAATGATGTCGCATCATAGTCATGAATATATTCATAATGATCATGAGTTAGATTTTAAAGAGCAACATAATATGAATATGTGGAAAGGATTAGTTGCAATGATGGGACTTGCATTATTTTTTTTTACCGAGAAAGCTTTAACAATGTTAGCAGAATGGAGAAAACTTCGACAACGCCGTAATAAAGTAATTATTTCATTTAAATTAACATTAGAAATAAACATAAATAAAAATATAAATTTTTGTAAAATATATTAATTTTTAAGTAATTGTAAACTATTTATAATTTTAGCTTCCACCACGTGTTCGAGTAATGAGAGAAACTGATGGACCAAATAGTAATGTTGTTGGAGAGAAACTTTGCAAACATAAATATTCATCATATCCATATTGTTATGGTGAAATTAGCACAGATGTTCAAGGTATAATTAAAAATTTCATTGAAATTTTAATAATTGATTTAAAATTCTTAATTTTATTTTTTGAACGATGTTAAAAGCATAAATAATCTATCATAAAAGGGATATTTATTATTCAGATAATCATCATAATCGTCAACATAATAATCATGAAAGACCTCCTGTGATAGAAGAAGAAAAACCATTAACATCAAATTGTAATTCAGTTTCAAAAATTATGACGAATGATATAGAAAAGAAACCAAGCAAAGATTGGAGGCTAGACGATTCAATAGTAAATACTAAGAAAAATACAGATGGAGCAGATATACCATTAAATGAATCAGAAAGTTATACTGTTATTATACGTGAACACGAAACGAAACATCATGGTCATACCCATTCACATGGTATTGTCTACTCTGATTTAAGTAATATACTATTTTATTTCTAATATATTTTATGAATGAAATTTATTTAGGTCATGTTCATTCTGCACCTGAATCTATGTCGAGTGTTGCTTGGATGGTAGTAATGGGTGATGGTTTGCATAATTTTACTGATGGTATGGCTATAGGTGCAGCTTTTTCAGCAAATATAGCGGGTGGTTTCTCCACAGCAATAGCTGTATTTTGTCACGAATTACCTCATGAATTAGGTATATTATATTAAATATATTAAATATTTTAAATTTTTAACTAAATTTTGTTTCTGTTTTAATAGGAGATTTTGCGGTTTTATTAAAAGCCGGTATGAGCGCTAAACAAGCTGTTTTCTATAATCTGTTATCTTCTGTACTTTGTTTGTTTGGTATGATATTTGGTGTATTATTAGGAAGTACTCCTTCTATAAGTAATTGGATGTTTGCAGCTGCTGCGGGAATGTTTATATATATAGCTTTAGTAGATATGGTAAGTAAGTAGTGTATATTTTTTTTATTAATGTAATAAGATAATTATAATTAACCATTAAATATTTATATAGATTCCAGAATTATCTTCAAGTCACTCTGTAGAGCGTAGCTCTCAATGGCAATGTATTTTACAAGCATTAGGGCTATCATGTGGCCTTGGAATAATGTTAATTATAGCACTCTATGAACATGATCTTAAAAATATATTCAGTGATTAAATTTATAAAGACTGACAATTTTTTTGAATGGTAAGCTTGCAATATTTTCTATAGATCCATATTTACAGTCATCTATTAAGTCAATAAAATTTTGACTGTGCATTCTTACCGAAAATATTTACTATTATAATAATAGAAACAAATTTATTTTTTTTTCTTTTCACATTTAGCATAAGATTTCTTGTTGATAACAACATAGTCTGTTGTTAAAAACTTAAGAATGTATAAATAAAATAAATGCTAAATGTTTTACAATACTAAGAGTATTCCGTGCACAAGAATAAATGAGTTAAACAATTAAAGAAAATTAGGTAATTCAAATGCAACGACAATATTTGAAGTATACTTATTAAAAACACTATATTTGAGATATTGCGTTCTTTGAAAGTAATAAAAACAGTTAGATAATTCACTAAAATTTGAATATTCTATAATTTTTTTAGTAGGTTATTATAAGAATAGATAATTGTAGTCAATTTTTATTCGATAATGTTTGATATTTTATTATTAAAATCATAAATTTGAAAAATGCCATGCGATTTTTTTTAAGTTTTTTCTTATTTTTTTAATTTATTAATAATTATAATAACTAATGATTATAAAAAAATATTATAAAAAAATTAAAAATCTAATATTGAAACCATTAAACCATAAAATGTAATACTGAAACACATGTAACACCAACTAAATGCATGTAAGAAAAACTGAGTAATTATTACTTTAATTGACAATTATTTTAGTTAAAACATTTTTAATTAAATTTACCAATTTTCTATAGAAGATATAATTGTTTCGGTTTTATATTTAGATTAAATATCACTATGAAAATGTATTAATTGTTATGACAGGATATTAATATATTTGTAGAATATCTTTGAAGAATCAATTCTAGAGGTCAAAAAAAGAAGACAAAAATGTTGATTAAGATTGATCTTATTTATTAAATTATAAATTGAAAGTTTAGATGAAGTGAAATGGAAAGAGAGTGAGATCACTCTCTCTGTTACATTACTGTCTTTATCTCTATCTTTGTTTCATTTAATACAAACTTAAACTGCTTATAACTTAATAAATAAATCTCAAATTTTTATATAAAATATATCAACTTTTATTTGTTTGTTTCTCAAGAATCGATTTTTTGGAAATATTCTACAAATATATTAACACCCTATATAAAAATTATATATTGATTAATTATAATCTGCATTACCTCTTTACTTGTCAGATACCTGGCATTTACATAATATGTATGTATTTTAGAGTTGTCAGTGTATTTGTACACAAGTTTGATTGTGATATATTTAATAATTGCATTCTTATTTTGATACAACAATTTAAATAAATGATGCTTCAGATAAATATTTTATAATTGAGTCAGTGTTATATGTAATTCTGTCATAAATGTATTATTAAAGTTAACAAAGTGCTCTATATACTTTATAATAATTTTAAGTCGAAATAGTTATATATTTATCAAATTATAAGATCAAAAACGAAAAATAATGGTATTAAGTTAATATCAAATTATAGAAAATATCAATTGATCATAAATGCATTTTAATAAGTTTATAAAAGTTTACAATTTTGTTTTTGAAACTTGTGCTTATTTTTTTTCAAGTTGTTTCATTGTAATTATTCTGCATTTGTACAATGTTTTAAATATTACAAAAAAATATATATTTTTTTAGGTTTGTGTTTCAGTAACTAACAAGTTATCAAATAAGATAATTATCTAAACAACATATTTTAATTTTGTATAATTATAAATGCACTTGTGCACAAAATAATTTCATCAAATGTATTGATGCAGATAAATAGAGGCGGTAAATCACTATTCATGATTGAATATATTAAAATTTTAAAAGTACCACTTATACTGCCACAATAATTATCAATCATTGAATTGGTGATTATTTACAATTATATGTACATATCTGCATGTCGTAAGATAATACATAATTAAAATATAAAAGCTAAATATTTTTAGCTGTACTTATGTAAAAGAAACTATTATTTATAATTGTAAAAATACTGAATATCTTTGGTTCTCTAAAAATCATGTTATAAACAAAATTTTTTACTGTCATACAATTATTTCTATATATATGCATTTATTGTGCTAATGACATGGAATATTCATTCTCAAAATACATATTCTGCACATTTTTTTGTTACTTAAAAAATGTACTGTTTAATACTTTGAATACCAGTTCAACAATCTTGTTCATGTCAAGTGAATTGATTAATTACATGGCATTCAATGTGTTAAACAATTAAATGATGTAAGTTACTTACATTTATTTTGTTTGTATGTTAATGATTAATGCCATGATCAATGACAATGTATTTTTTTACAGAAAATGTAAAAAATTGAAAAAAAGCGTTATATATTCTTATAAGCAAAATACTTTCTTAAATTATATCTTACATTAATACTGATGTATTTAACTAAATGATTTGCGCTTTTTTGTAAAAATTTAAATGCTAAGCATAAACATTAGTTTTTTGAAACATGTTTATATTATTATATATCCTGAAAGATTTTAGGGTTTTTTTTTTATATATAATATAAAGATAGTAAAATGATTTTTATTTGAAAAAAAAAAAGATTGCTCTAAATTATTGATTTATTATTATTTCTTAAAATGAATTTATTCTTCAATAATAAATTTTATTGAATTTTATCAATAATTTATGTAAAAATATTCCCTCCTAAAAATTAAATTTCAAACTCTAAAACAATGTGATTAATTTTATATATTATATTAATTTTATATAATATTCTTGTTCGTTCAATATAAGCACTTATCAAAACAAAATAATTATTTGTACAACACATTGAAGTACTAATAGTGAATAAGAAGAAAATAATCATAAAATTTATAAATTAGATAAAATTTTTTAATAATAAAATCTGTATAGAATGTCAATATATTCATAGAATACCTTATAAAAGATCAATTCTAGAGAGAAAAACAAAAGTTAATATATAAAAATAACAATTGATATTTATTTATTAAATGAAATAGTAATGTAATAATAAAAGTTTTCAATACCAATCATAATGTAAATAATTTAAATTTAATAAATAGATGCAGATACAGATATTTATGCGAAATAAAATTTTTATGAACATAAAAAAAGAAATGAAGCTTAAATTGAGATTTGCTTTATTCTTCAAATATTATATTTTAAATATTTTTATCATTCATATTTTATAGATTTTTGTATTATTTTGTTTAAACATCTGCAATCCTTTTATAATAATAAATAAACCTTGATAATGAATTAATGAATTTTTGTCTTCATCTCCAGAATCAATTTTTAAAAATATTTTAATATATTAAACTATATTTTTTAACTTTTCAAGTATTAGTTTAAATCAATTTAAGTTAAAATTCTTAGAAATAATTTAATTGCTTATTTAATTTTTCCAGATTATTTTTCTCATTGAAAAATTTAGTAGATTTGATTAAAAATGTACTTTAAACTCAGATAATATGAAATATACTTTATATTTTAATTATTATATTAATTATAATAATATTTAATAAAATATTAATATTAATTAATATTATTATAATTATTAAATTATTATAATTTATTATTAAAATTATTAATATTATTAAATATTATAATTATTATTTTACTTCTATAATTTCAGAGAATATAATATAAATATATTGAATAATTTTTATTTTTATTTTTATAGCATTGAAATATGTAATACTTACATCCAACGATTTTAATAAAATTTTTTTTTAATAAAAATATATTAATTATTGTTATAGAAAATTAATTAGAATTGATTAACACAAAATAAAAATTTTTAATTAATAATTTTGATATAATTTAACAAATCATAATATTTTTTGTTATTTATTTAATTAATAAATTATAATATCATTAAATTATAAATCATTGTATTATATCAATGAACTATAAAATAATTATTTTATAATATCCAAATACTTAATTTATGTAAATTAATGTTAATTTAGAGTTTCCGCCATTTCCGCCATTATCAATATCAAATTCTATCGCAAAAATTACAATTATAGAAAGATGTCACCACATTAGTTCAATATATTTGTTTCAAATTTTTACAAAATTTTTATAATATTTATGAATTGTAAAATGTTTTCAAATTTTAAAATTGTAAAATAATATTATAATTAATAATAATTGTAATATTTTCAATCACAAACAAAAAAACAGAATAAATTTAATATTCAATGCATTTTTTGTTTTTTGTAATATTATTTTATTTTGTAATTATTAATAAAATATTTTTAAAAATCAGAATAATTTATTTTAGAATTAATATTTATTTGAATTGATAATATAATAATTAGTTTATACATTAATCCCATTGTAAAAGTTAATATATTATAGACTAAATTTTCAAAAATAAATTATAAAAATATTTTTTCAAATATTTAAAAATTATTTATATAAAGTAATGCAAATTAAAAATAATTAAATGAAATATAATAAAATAAATGTTTTTTAAATCTATTGTAAATCTCAAACTATAAAAATAATTAATATTTTATTTATAATCTTTCATTAAAACTATATGATGTAGTTTTAAGAACTATCATGATCTTCTTATATTTGATAATAATTAGTGTTTAAACAGTTAATTGTATATTTAAAAAATGTTTAATAAGATTATAAATAATGAAGAAATAAATTCAATAAAAAATAACATATATTGTATATATTTAAGATGAATCATTTTATTTTTATTATATTTTTGAAATTGTGCAATGATCATGTAATATTTACAAATGAAAATGATATATTTTATTTTTTATCATATATATGTATGTATGTACAATATATAAGAAAAAATTTTTATATTTGTAAATTATATTTATAATGTTTTATAATCTTTTGCTGTTATATAACATATATGTATGAGTTAATATGATTCTTTTAATATTGAGGCACTTAACATATAATTAACAATACAAGTCAAATAAAATTTATAAATATTATTTAAATATTAAATTTTGCAGTTTTATACAAATATTAGAATAATTATATTGTAACAAACAAATTAATTTATCAAACAGAGACAAGATCATCTTTATCACTCATCTGAGCTGATAAACTAAACGCTGTATCTGTGCTAGCCTCACTATTTAAACTTTCATTAAATACTGGTTTCATATGTGCAGCATCACTCATCTCTCTCATTAATCCTGCCATGTCATCATCTGGATCAATTTCTTGAATTTCACCTACTACATCAATTTCTATAGATTGATTATCTATTGTTGATATTTCCTGTGTTTCAGGTTTCGATTCTTTAAACTAATAATTATAATAAAAATAGAGTTAATATTGCATCATATTGTTTTATACATTTATAAAAAATGTATCTTTAAAATCTTACTTTCATAGTTTCCAATTTACATTCAGATGGTAAATTCATATGAAATACACAATTTGTATCAAAAATCACTGGTACTGGCTCATGACATTCTATATCTGCTCGAATTGCACCACATGCTTTAAACAAAACTTGATGTTGATCCTGTTAAGATGATAAAATTTGTTCAATTTGTTTTTATATGATATATGATATAATATTATAAATTAATAATATATAATATTATAATATATAAATATGTTACTTTAAGAATATGTTTGCGACAATGTTTTGCAGCAGGAAGAGTTTTTTCTCCACATTTTACTCCACCTTCTGTAAAAATACATTTTGATATACTTGGTATTTTTTGTGTAGGACCTACAGTTGCCTGTAACAAAAATATATAATTTTTAGTTAATTATTATATAATATGTTATATATATGATACTATTTATTATATAAAATCATAAAATTTATATTTTACCTGTGCTCTACGTTCTAAAGATTTTCTATATAGTATAGCTTCAACTCCACTACGTCTATGATAACGATTTAAGGCTTTCAATTTTTCATAAATTTTTTTTTCCTTTGCAGTTTCTTTCGGTTGATCATATATACTACATAATGTTTCCTTTTCCTTTTTAAGTGCATGTAAATATTTTCTTCTTTTTTCTCTTAATATATATTGTAATCTTCTAAATTGATCTATATAAAGTGATTGTAATCTAATTAATTTTTCTCGTGCAATGTAGATCACCTCCTCAGCAGTAAAAATTCCAGCATGCCTTAAAAAATTAATACTAATTATTCAATAGAAATTACTGTTTCATTTTTGCAAAAAGCAACTACAAAATAGATATAAGTAAAAATACAGATAATTGATATTTCATTTTTAAAATTTGCTCAAGCCAAAGCAAGCTAGCTGATATTCTACAGAAAAAACAATTTAATAAAATTTTCATATACATATATATAATTGTAAATTTTCATACATAAGAATATTCTTACTTTAAAGGATCTTCTTGTGCACTGTATAAACTTTCATTATCACTATCATCAAGATAACTTCCTCTTAAAGTATCATTCACTGTTGTAGGTTCAACATCACTATCAGAGGAACTTGCATAATCCAAAATATCACGTCCACTTGCATTTACTTTATACGCATCAACTTCAGCTAAAAAAAAATTTTTTACATAAAGCTTTTACAAAAATTTTAATTTATTTATAAGAATAAAAGAATATTTAATCAAAACTTACTAAAAGGATCTAATGCTTTGACTTTTCCTTCTTCATCTTCAGTATCTTCAGTACTTGAATCTGTTTTTTTAACATAGTGGCTTAAATTAAGTAAAAGCATTTCAAGTGTCTGTAATAAAGAATATCTAGCTCTTGACTTTATATAAACTATTTGGATTTTTTAAGCTCAGTATAATATCTAAAATTCAGTATAATATTAAAAAAAAATTCTTATATGTAATAAAAAATACATAATATATATGAAATTCATTAAATTTGGATTTAGTACATACAAAATATCTTCTTTATCCAATTTCAATGCTAGATTTTTAGTATTTTTTTAACATTATAATGTAATCTTGAATTTGATGAAGAATTCAAGTGATAAATTGACAGAATAAATTATATTGAGAAGTGTCTACTTCATATTAGCATTCTGTAATTTTAAGTATTTATTATTAATAATTTAATAATAAGTTATTATTAATAATTAAAAAAAATAAACAAATATCATAATATATTAAATACATATGTAAAAAATGTCTAAAAAAAATGTGAAACATAATATATGGAAGAATTGCAAGCTGCGATTATAATATCGTAGTTTTTATATCGAATGAATACATATCGAATACAAAACCGATAATATCGAGAAATTAACAAAATATCTCATCGATAAGTATAAATTCTATATAAATATAAATAAAATTCTATTATACTTAATTCAATTATTATATACTTATTTACGAGATAAAAACCCCGATACTATATATTTTAATATTCAAAAAATTATATATTAAATAAGTAAAAATTATGAAATATTATTTTTGAAAAATATCAAAAAATTATATTTTGTAAATTACTTTTTTAATAAAATTAAAAGTTACAATGTACATATTTATTTTATAATTTTAAATTTAGCGCGATAACTTACATTGGAAATCAAAATTATTCTATTAATATTATTAATTTAAAATAATTTCTAATTTAAAGAATATATTTTGAATATAAAAATTATAATATATATAAAATATTATATATATTTAAATTTATAATCATTTTTTTAAAATAAAATTTTAATACAATGTGTATTTGTAACAAGTGGTAAATCGTCGCCATTTTGTACGTGAGATGTTGAATGAAGTTTCATTGATGTATGTACGGATTTCGAACGAATGAAACGGACATGTGATTGGTTTTTGTGAAAATTGTAATAAAACGAGAGAAGCGGGACTTAAGAAAGCCGCGAAATATAATTTTTTTAGAGACTTACTGTGATTTCTTATATCAAATCTTCAAAGAGGAAGGCAGTGCCAATCCAATCACGCTTATCACCATCGATATATTTCTGATTATTTCAAGAGTAAAAAAGATTATGTTGTGAAACGTAAAATATTAACAATTGTGCAAGTCTGAAGTTGTATCTGAATAAATACTAAATATTCGAAAGACAACACTGGATCCTTCGATAGGATCAAGATAACGGAACGCTACTACAGGGGTAATATTGGCTGCGTGCACATACTACTAGTTCAACGATTACGTCACTTCCGGGAGTTGAAAGCTCAAAACTTCTAATTGATAAACTACGTGATTCATACCTATCATAGACTGAAAAAGTTCAGGTAGGTTATGACGTTGGTCATAAAATATTAGCCAAGTTGGTTTTACGTTATGCACGCGTGTTTATTAAAATAAACTAATGTAACGTACTCGCCATAAAAAATTAATATTTATTTCGAATTAAACAGTACTAGTTTGTTACATGTTTATTGTGTCAGAAAAATTGCAACTTCTTGTGCAACATAATGACAAGTAATATTTTTTAATTTTTTCATATGAAATGGGGTAAATTGTAATAGTATATAAAGTTATTACATGGATATAAATACCTCAACTATAAAGTATAGAATTTTTACTTTATTATTATAATTGGAATTATTAAATTATATAGTGAATTAATATTAAAATAATAATATAATTTTTTATATAACCAACCTCATGGCCTGCCAAAAGTTCATAAATCGGTGTACAATAATATAAAAATGCATGCGGAAGATATTTCTCTATAGTAATTTATATGGTATTAATTAATTATCCTGGATATTTAATATATATCGCGTTTTAAATTATAATGAAATTGCGATCGATTTTAAATTTGTTAAAATTTTATTGAGATTAAGAAAATCTATTGACTTTACATAAAAAGCGGTTTTTATAATAAATTATCAAAAATAAGTTCATTACTGTAATACACTTCGAAAGATTGATATTATTTATTAATTTATTATGATTATTATACGGAAAAAAACTTATTTTGTAAAATATTAAACAAATAAAACGTCCATAAAATAATTTTAACGGTATTGCAAAATTTCGTATTAACCTATAAATTACGACAATCTAATGTCATAAATATATATATATGTAAAAGTACTGAAGAATTTCTGAAGTTGGTTTTTCATCTACTGCATAATTCCAAAGCAGTGCCGTGAAGTTGGATACGTATCAAACAATTTAAAAAAAGAAGATACTATTTCCGGAATTCAAAATGGAACTTTCGCATAAGATGCAAAATGCATAAAATAAACAAAAAATAATTTATAGAAGAGACAATTAAATATCTATGAAGTAAAGTAGCAACATTATAACATTATTTATTTAATAATTAATATGTGATTGTTTTACTGTGAAAAGTTCTATGGGTATAAATTTGGAGGGGAGTTTCCGGTTAGCGTAGTGACGTGAAGTTCTCAACGTGTTGCTGTTGTGCATGCCTTGTGTGCTCGCCGCCACCATCGCGACCGCCGTGAAGTGCGCATCATTAGTACCGTGTTGTGTGTACATATAAATGGCGGCTGACGAAAAATGGTACTTTACGAAAGAACAGCTTATAAACACGCCGAGCAGAAGATGCGGCATCGACGCGGATAAGGAACTAAGCTACCGGCAGCAGGCAGCGAATTTCATTCAGGATATGGGACAGCGGCTTGTGGTGTATCCTTTTAAAAGTGCATGTTTAGTTGCGTGTTTCTCAACCTCCCTTACCCCCTATCCCCATAATCATTTTATGTTCATTTTTCTCCTATTCATTTAAATTGTTTTAAATGAATACATACAATTATGTGATTATATTCTCTTTATATCGATCTTTTAATACTTCGTATTTCGAGATGAATATAAAATTTAAAACGTGTTGTAAACATGAGTGACGTGCAAAAGAAGAGGTCACGCGTCATGATTACGATTCTCCATATTGAACTTCTTATTGTTAACTTTAATATACAATGAATTTCGGAATTTTTGTGCTATTCAACATTTTTATATTGATCATAAAATAATGTGAATGAATTAAAATGACCATCAGAATTTTTTGTTGAAGAAGGAGAACAAAGAATAAGGTCATGAAAAGACAGCATTGTTTGCTAAGCTAAGTTTGACAGTATTACCAACCAAAGCTACAATTTCTGCTTATATTTTTTATGCAAGTATATTTTATTTTTTATATCTTTTTTTATATCTTAATTTTTATATACATACATACATACATATATATGTATATGCAAGTAATGTTTATGATCAGATCAGAACTAACGCAAATTTGTCAATATTGAATTATCACATATTACCAATATTTTTTTAAATTAAAAATAAACATATAATAAATAGTATTTTAAATAAAATATTTAATATATTAGATCATTATTTAATTATAAAATTTATATTATTTTTTATATTAAACTTATATTAATTAGACTATTCAAATATATAATAATACTTTTTATTTCAGAAGTATATTATAGAATATTTTTACAAATATAATATATAGAAAACTTTTATATTTTCTATAATATTTTTATGTTTCAGATATATATTTGAAAGTTATAAATGTCTTAATTATCTTTCCAGTTGTGAGAACTTCAACATAGTCTTCAATTTTATTTTAAATTAAAAATTTATAAATATGAGAGACTAATGAAATATTAATTTTAAAAATAATTATATTAGTAAACTATTTTACTTTTATATTGTATATAATACTTATAATATATGTATATTTTATATACATAAAATACATAATATATAGTATAATATTTATTTTTATATTCTAAGTTTTTTTATATTATAACTTACTTTGAATTCTTAATTGATATATTCTTCTTTTAGTAGAATAATAAATATTATAAGATATGAAAATTAATAATAAAAAGCATAAATGAAGATCATGATATAAATAAAATATTAAATCAAATTTAGGAGTTGATGTTTTAAAATTGTGATTTTCTTATTAAGTTTTTCATATTAATGTAATAAGCAAATTAAATAAAATTTTTTATATATAATCTATTGTAGCCTCTATTTTTTAATCTTACCATTTAATTTAATTATTTAAAAGGAAATGATTAAATTGTATTTTAATCATATTTATTGTTTTAATAATTTTTATTTAAATTAATTATAATTTAAATATAATTAATTAAAATTGAAATATTGGATAGTAAATAATTATATAAATTTATATATAGTATTAATCATATATATATGATTAATATTCCAATGAAAAATATTTGAAATAATACATATATATTATTTTCATTATTCTATTTATTTGCACATTATTATAGTATTAAATAATTTGAGTTTTTTAATTATATGAAATAATTATATACATATATTGAAATATAATTAAGGAAATACATTAAAGAAGAAATGATGATTATTAAAATAAATTTATATTGGATAGCACAAAAATTTTTAAAAATTTATAATTAAAAGAAACCACAATCTATTATGCAATTAATAATATATTAAATATAATGTTTTATTAAATATATTTTCCTTTATTAGATAAATATAGGTCACAATTATGTATCAACACAGCAATAGTATATATGCACAGGTTTTACGTATTCCACTCGCTGTCACATTTCCACAGGAATGCAATTGCAGCAGCAGCATTATTTTTGGCAGCAAAAGTCGAAGAACAACCACGCAAGTTAGAACATGTTATCAAAACAGCTCATATGTGTCTCCACAGAGATCAGCCCTCACCTGATGTCAGATCTGAGGTAAAATAAAAAACTAAATTTAATATTAACATATTTGTAATAAATATAAGTATTATAAATTATTTATTTTATTCATAGCAATATCTTGAGCAAGCTCAAGACCTGGTTTTCAATGAAAATGTTCTACTACAAACATTGGGGTTTGATGTCGCCATTGATCATCCCCACACACATGTTGTTAGATGTTGTCAACTGGTTAAAGGTATATAAATTATGTTTGGAAATTTATATAATATTACTTTGTTTAGATTTTAGTTTTTTATATTTTATGTGAAAATTTTATTATAATAGTAAGTTTAAATAATTCAATAAATTATTATATTACTATTAACTATTAGACCTTCAAATATAATTAATAAAAACTTTCATTCAGTTATTTTAACTCTTTTTACAGCGAGCAAGGACTTAGCCCAGACTTCATACTTCATGGCATCTAACAGGTGGCTACACATTATTTCCTAGTATCTCTTACTCTTAGCAGTCTTCTGGTCAAATAGATGCCAGCTGGAGCATATTTCCAAACTAAGACTGTCAGGCAATAGCCACTGGCGCAACATTCTGACCTATTTTCTTTTTAGAAAGCAAAGTAAACGTGAAATAAAGTTACATTTATTAATATTTATTATAATTATATATTTTTTATAAATACAAAAATATGTCATTATAGACATTCTTTGGTTCAAAAAGAATAAATTTAATTATTAATTTTAAATATGAATATAAAATAAAAATTTAGAATACAAAAGTTTACTTTGATTTCATATTTTATTCTAAATTCTAATGCGAATGTTTAAATGTCAACAGTAACTTTTGGGGAGGAATGTTGCGTTGCAGTCGCGGTAATGTCTGATTCTAAAGAGAACGTATGCCAAAGCGAAACGAAGTTTATTTCGTAAACTAAGTTCACGATGAGGATTGCTTAATTGAAGGTAAATGAAATATTCTTAAGGACTGATCGTTTTCTCTTACATTACGGTATATTGTCCAATTTTTATTTTTATATTTATATACACTTATTTTTAAGCTGTAGATGCACAAAACAAATTAAGAATGAATGAAATGAATGTGAAAGTAGTGTAATGATGAGTGAATGTCTAAAAACATTTAACAATACAAAAAGGATAAATAACCATACTATTAGAATATATTTTATATTAGTAATCCATTATGGTATGGTATACAGTCTAATTATAATCTGTTCAAATATTATTCAATGAATAATATTTAAATAGATCATAATTATGACTAAAATATTAGTGTAGATTAAGCCCTAATTTATCTCTGTTACAAAAAATTGAAATTATTTTTTTTTGATATTTTTATATATCGCATAATATTATATCATATTTAATATATATATTTTTTTCAAGAAATAATTTTTAATGAAAATACATTAAATTCATAAACTGTTTTATATTTACTTTAAATATATTTTCCGTTAAAAAAAATTTAATAACTGAAAATTTTTATTTCTATATTAAATATTTTATATACAATTTAATATTAACTAAAATATTCTAAATAACTAAAATAATT